TGGAGATTCTACCTTCCTCCACACCCTCTGGATCTAGGTTCCCTCTTGAAAGCTTGTAAGCCAGTCACTTCTTGCCTTTGTAGCCCCCCGCCCCCCATTTTGGGTAGCAAATGTCCAAGTTGCCTATCCCTGTCTACTCTGTGTATGGAGGTGGTGGGAATGATCCTTGCTATAAAGATTTGTTCCCTCTTTTGAACTACTGCATCTATAGGTGTAGGTCAAGTTCATCAAATTGTATCAGATTACTTTTTCCTCCTCTTTCTTCTAGTGGAGCTTTGATCATCCAGTCATTGAAGCCAGGTCAAGTGTGAGTGTTCTTGTGCATATGCTCTCTCTTCTTATCAGCTGGATGCTTCACTTTCCACTCGAGTCCTCTGTGGCTATGTCAGTGACTCTGGGCCCGAGTCCCCAAGTCTTGCCACAATGCTGGTCAACCAGGTTCAGGTTCAGTGTCAGGTTCACAGGAGTCTATTGAACATTGTAGGGCTTAGTTCGCAGCTTCATTGCTGGTTTTTCCCTCACTTCCCGTTATCGGTGACGAACATGGTCACCAATCAAAGCATATATTCTCACTAAGTCTTAATCTTGGAAGGGGGTTTACTCTGAGGAGACCCAACCACTTGCTTTGATGTCTCCTGGGCGAGCAACTTGCTTGTTCTTGTAGTAATCAGTTGGTCTGCCTATATTGTTTTGTATTTTTCCTGTTGGTCTTTTTTTCAAGAAGTATCTTCTGTTATTCTAGCTGTCCAGGCTGGTCTGCCCATCCTTTCAAGAGGAAATTTCCCACCTCTGAAGATTCTGGATGCTGTTCAGGATTCCACCTGTAGTCTTATGTAATGCAGAGGCTCTGCGGGCAGCCTCCTTCACTGGGCACATTGCAGCCCCATTTTAGGTATTCCAATCAGTTATAGAGAGAACATGGAGATTCTCTACTATTTTTGTCTCTGAAGGTCAGTTAGGTATCTGAGTGTGCACAGCATAATTCTAGAGATACTTGTGTCCTTTTATGTTAGATTGTTTATATGGTTTGTCAGGCCTGATGGGCCTTTTTTTTGCTAGATAGGCTGGAGTAAAGGGTCCTGCACAAGTTAATTTTAGGACTGCGACCCCAAGGCTGATATTATAAGCATCCGCCAAGCTCTCTCTCTGTGCCTTGGGGAAACTTTGGGCTCACTGCTTGACTTAATTTTGGTGGGTGTGCCCGCCTGAAGGTATCCTGGCTGGGCAAAGAAGGCTGGACAGGGAAGAGGAGGAAAAAATACATAGAATCCCCACATCTCCTTTTGCAAATGTCACTGCACTGCTTTGAGTGCAGGTTCCCTGTACTGGTCTGGCTGTAGCTCCGCCCTCTGAACTCCGCCCAGGCGGGGTGGCGGCAGAGAGAGTCCTGTCTCAAGTGATTCCTAACTCATAGTATTTTCCTTTACACTGTTGAGTTTTCAACTTGCATGTGGGGGAAATTGACGCCCTGAACCTTATGCTAGATCCAGAGCTCTGGTGGTGGTCCATGAGTGCAGCTTCTCTGGGCTCTCAATCCCTTCCCCACAGAGCCTTTCCTACCTGCCTGTCTTGGCCGCCAAAATCGGAACTTCCTGGAGCACTTTTAAAGTGTTCACATGATGTGGGGTATTGAAATATATAAACTTTTTATTTATGCACAAATGCATTTCCCAACAAGGTAAGATGGACTTTAAAAGCACAGCTTCCTGAAGCAACTGGCTTCCTATGACAGGAAGATGGTAAGTGGGATTAAAGACGGAATCACAGCATCAAGGCAGAAAAAAACCTCACCAATGAGGAGGAGCAAAAGAAAAAGAGGAGTGACCTTGGAGGAAGAGGAGGAGAAAGGGAAAAGGGAGGTCTTTGAGGGAAGGGAGGAGAACGGAAAGGAGTGCTTTGGAGGAAGAGGAGGCAGCATTGGGAGTCTGGGAGAAGGGGAACTGGCCCTAGATGCTGTACAGGGTTGACCATGCCAGATATCCTTAGGCCTGGATTGGTTCACTTGGGCCTGCTCCAGAGGAAGAAATTACACCGGGAGGAGGGGTCAGTGGGAGGACCTTGGGGCCTGGCACACATGTAGAAGCAGCGGCCTCGGTTGGGCCCTGGTTTTTTCACAGTCCGCTTCACACATGGTTCCCTGTGACCCCCACAGAGGGGTATGGGCAAGGGTCCTCCCAGCACAGACTTCCAGCATAAGCTCTTCACCTTCTTCCCATACTTGGCCTCTGAAGCCTTGGCCTGCACTTCAACCACTTTGGCTGACACCTCCACTTCTGGATTCACCATCACGCTAGGACACTCCAAGTCTGGAGAGGCTTGGGCACAGCTAAAGGATGGCCGGAAGTAGCTCTTCAGGTTCTTCTGGCCTTTGCTAGAGCCAGCCTGACATGGTTGAGGCTGGGTTGAGCGCTCATGGATTTTGTTTTGGCGTGTTTGTACCTGGGTTTGATTGTTGAGCTGCAGTTCTGACTGACCAAACACAGGATCTTGTTCCAGGTTAACTAGGAAGTGAAGGATCTTGAGTTGGGTGCCTGCAAATTCTGGGAGGAAGCGGGTACAGAGGGAAGGGCAATGTTTTGTGGGTACAGAGGACACACTCAAGACTGCACCCACAGGGCAGTGGTCAGAACCCATCACCTCAGGTAGCAGGAAAGAGTCCTGGAATGTATCTATGACCAGAGCCCTGTCCCCCAGCACATAGTCAAGTCTAGTGCCATAGTTAAGATGGCGGGCACCACTAACAGCAGACCAGCACGTAAAGGCGCCCTTCTTCTTAGGGTGGAAGCAACGGTAGGTATCAATGAAGGGTCTTACATGGGCCCCCTCCTGGCACCCCAGGACACTGAGTAGACCATCCATCCACTTGCGCCCTGGGTCCTCTTCAAAGCATTCCTGGGGAGAGAAAAGGGGAGAAGAGAATGAAAGACAAGCAAAATTCAGATGCTAAAACTAGAAGGGACTTAGACCAACTACTTTATTTTACATGGTGGTGGTGGCTGCATGCCATGGAGTCGGTTCCAACTCATAGCGACCCTGTACAGGGTTTCCGATGCTGTAAATCTTTCTCCTGCAGAGCGGCTGGTAGTTTCGTACTGCTGACCTTGTGGTTCGCAGCCTGATTCGTAACTACTACGCTAAATTTTGTTGTCCCAGAGAGAACTATTACTCAAGATCACAGGGGAGAAATGTAATTTCTAAGATTAATTTCCATCCTTATTGATTTAAAAACCCATGCTTGTTTCCTTCCTCTGCACCAGGCTGCATTTACCTCAAATTGGTCCATAAATGCCAAATCTGAGTTAGTTTGTTTGCTTATTCAAAGCAATTCCTAGAACTAATCACCAAAAGAATGGCAAACAGAAGCTAAAAGTGGTTGCCTCTAAGGAGTAGGGCTAGGGTTAGGAGTTCGGAAGACTGTTAGTTCAATTTAAATCGTCTGACACTATTTAGTTTCTCTGGTAGCGTAGTGGTTACGAATTGGGCTGCGAACCTTAAGGTCAGCAGTTCGAAACTACCAGCAGCACTGCGGGAGAAAGATGAGGCTTTCTACTCCTGTAAAGATTTACACCCTTGGAAATCCTGTACAGGGTCGCTATGGGTCGGAACCGACTCGACGGCACTTAACAACAACAACAACAACATGTATACCCTTGGCACCCCTAAACACAATGCCTTATCTCACCGCAAGCTGAATGGCTCCAAGGATCCACATTTGAATACTTCCTTTGGCTGTGATTTCTAAGCCATCCATTCATCACTTATTCATTGTAGCAAATGTTCATAGAACACCTATTATGTGCTAGATACCCTAGGGACAAAATGGAGACCTAATCTAGTCCTGGAGACCTAGGATGTTTCCTTTCAGGAAGTGATCTGAAGCTGAGACCTGAAGGCTAAGAAGGAGTAAAATCTAGGAAGTGCATGCTCCAACAGAAAGAACAGCCTCTATGACAGGCCTACAGAGGGAGGGTGCAGTGGAACCAAAAAACTTGAGGTGACAATGGGGGCTAGAATATTGCAGTAGTGCACACCAGATTATGGTCACTTAGTCTAAGGTGACACCAGAGGAGACAGAGAAAAATCATTAAAATTAGATGATTTGGAGCTGGAATTGACAGTGTTTGCTTACCAACTGAATGTGAAAGGGGGCAAAGAAGAAGAACAATACTAGCACAACTCCCAGGTTTAATCTGGAGCAACTGAGGGGATGATAGTGCTTTTTATGGAGATGAGAAGACGCGAAGAGTAGGTCTGGTAGGAAGTGGACATATTCTATTTTGGAAAAATTGTGTAATGTGACCAGATACTACTAGTTCTTTTTCCCTTGGAAGAAGAACGTAGGAGGTACACTTGAGAAACCTAGGGAAGTTTTGAACTAAGAAAATAAGGCATAAAGGTATATGATGTTACCATGAGAAGCAGAAAGACCAAACTCAGGTGAATGTTTGATGAAGAAAAAGGCAGAGAAAGACTGAAGGCTTATACTTTGTAGTGTATATACTCCAACTTCCTCTACCTGCCCCACACCGCCACCACCACCACCATTCTCTCATTATTTCATTTTTGCTCCTTTTTCCAGCTGGGAGCCAAATCTGTGCTTATATGGTTTCTCTGTATCTAATCAAGGATGTTTGTGCTGAGTTTAGCTGTGCCAGAGTGAGTTGCTGATCTCTCCCTTTATGAGGCAAGCAACAATGAGAACTGGCTTGAAGATTATAGGACAGTGGTTTTCAAGCCTGGCTGCACAATAAAATTACCTTGGGAGCTTTTACAGTTACTACCATGGTCTTGTAAGGAGCTCTGGTAGCGTAGTGGTTACGAATCAGGCTGTGAACCGCAAGGTCAGCAATTCGAAACTACCAACTGTTCCGCGGGAGAAAGAGGAGGCTTTCTGCTCCCGTAAAGATTTACAGCCCCGGAAACCCTGTACAGGGTCGCTATGAGTCAGAACCGACTGCACGGCACTTAACAACAACAACAACAACAACAACAAACCCTGGTCTTGTGGTAGAAAGATGAGGCTTTCTGCTCCCACTGAAAATTTAAAGCCTCAGACCCTATACAGGGTTGCTATGAGTCAAAACTGACTTAACAATAGCAGCCCTGGCCTCACACCCAAATGATTCTGATTTAATTGGTCTGGGGTGGTTGTTGTTGTCAGGTGCCATCGAGTCGGAACCAACTCATAGCGACCCCATGCACAGCAGAAAGAAACAATGTCCGATCCTGGGCCAACCTCACTACCGCCGCCACACTTGATGCCATCAATGATGTCACCTGGCTGATCCATC